TGGGGCTGGGGATTTAGCTCAGCGGCAAAAGCGCCTGCCTGGCAAGCGCAAGGTCGTGAGTTCGGTTCCCGGTACCAGAGAAAAACCAAAAACAAACACAGACAAACCCAAAAAAAAAAAAAAAAAAAAAAAAAAAAAAAAAAAAAAAAAAAAAATCAGTAAAACTAATAATTATATAATGAGAAAACAAAAGTAATTATCACTACAATAGCAAAGTCTTAAATGCAAACTTAACAGATAAAGAAAAATCTACAAAAGTCTACAAATAGTATTTTAATACTGTGCTTGAGGTTTATGAAACATTTGGGTTACTCAGTTATTTCCACGACTTCTTCCTCTGGGACACTGTCCAGGGAGAGACCATCAGTCTTCACTTCTAGAATGAGAGCAAGCAAAATATCTGTCTATAGCTCAAAATTTTATTATAATTAATTGCTGACCTACTGCTGGAATTGTTAAGGTTCTTAAATATGCACCATGTTTGCCATGCAATTCTATTTTTTGTCTGCTTTTAATGATGTGCAATTATTGATAATCTACGGACAATGCAAGTGGGAAAAAGTGAGGGTATGGAAAATACTGAAAACACAATAGGCACATGAGAATTCCAATCTAATCTGCATTATCTGAAACTCATTGATAGCCATACAGGGTCAGGCTGTCCTCAAGCTCCAAATCCTCCTGCCTCGGTCTCCAGAGTGCTGGGATGACAGATGTGCACTACAACATCCAACCCACAAAATTTTCAAATGGCACTTTTCTCTCCTAAAGATCATGGTAAACACTTATAAAATGCATTTCTAACACACTCTAGGGTCAGAATGAGCTCCACATGTGATAATGTCGCAAGAGAAGCAACTAAGGGTGCACTGGTTATGAGGAAGAGATTCAGAGGCTCTGTGTGTGATTTTGCTTTATATTTTTCCTTTTGAGAAATTTTGACATTATCTATAGAACTGTGATATGTAGGAATAACTCTTCACTTTTTAAATTATTATCTTTTGTGGTGCTGGGGTTTGAACCCCAGCACCTCACGTCACCAGGCACTCTACAACTATGTTGCAGCCCTGGCTCCCGTTTTAACTATACTATTAAGATTTCAAACATCATTAGAACATCTGAACCTGAACAGACCCATTCTGGATAGTGAACAGTGTTTTCAATTTAAAACGTAACTTTCACCCTCCCTGTTTGTGTGTTAGCTTTCCTGTTCTGAGACAGTAGAAAGTGAATGACTGTAGCAGCATTTCTCTACAACTGCTTATCAAGCGATGTTTCACTCTACCAAAATGTTTACTGTACTGATACATATCATGTGTTTATATAAGTTACTGTTTATAAGAACTGCTTGGGGGGTGGGGGATTAAAAAAAAGAACCGCTTAGTTTTTGCTTGTTTGTTTTTGACATCTTTGCTATATTCTCCAGCTTGTCTCAAGCTTCTGGGCTCAAGCGATCCTCTTGCCTCAGCCTCCTGAATGGCTGGGACTACCGGCACATGCCACTATATGTGGCTCAACTGACTAACTTTTGGATGTGACTCATGAAGTATTCATTCCTCTACGTCGAAAGGCTTTCTTTCTCGGCCATATTCCAAAATAAAATCTGGGTTTATAAGTGAGGTATGTTTCTTTCAAGAAGACCAACTTTTGGAAGAAATTTCCTCACTAAAATGCTGGTCACAGAATTCCCAGTCAGCCAGGAATGATGGCACACATAGTGAAACCTTGTCTCAAAAATAAACAAAACAGGGGCTGGGGATTTAGCTCAGCGGCAAAGCACCTGCCTGGCAAGCGCAAGGTTGTGAGTTCGGTTCCCGGTACCGGAGAAAAACAAAAACAAACAAACAAAAAAACAAAAAAACAAAAATAAACAAAACAAAATACAGCAAAAAGGCCTTACCCTTCCCATTTAAAATTACACATTAAGTTTCCTAAGATTAATGCCTGTGTATTCATTTTAAATCCAGACTTCACTAGATTGGATATTGAGAAATTTCTTTCTATTGCCATATTAATCTTGCTTTCTTCGCTATTTTGCTGCCCCTCTTCTGAGGTAATAAGAAGCCTGATTCTTTCTGTAGTATTTCTGGACTTCTGCCTTTAATGCCTTCAACAAACCCGCACATCTACTACAGCATGTTCAATACGACAAGGGCTAGCTAGGAACACCTACCAGGATGGCTTGTCTTCTGAGCAGCGGGTGGCATGACAGCTTGTGGCTCGGCAGGACCACAGCAGTCCACACCCAGGAGTCTCCTTGCTTTGACACATTCCCATATAAAATCTGGTCTTGCCAAAAGAATGTGCTTCTTCTGGAAATGCTGCAGTTGGTACTGACTCAGGACATCAGCATTATCTAAGATCACATGTGTACACTAAGGAAGAAGTCAATGTTACACATTAGAAAAAACAAAAGTGGTATATTATTTGTACGGTATATCCAATTTTGTACCCTTAAAAAATCGTTTTAAAATTGTTTGCAGTAGATGTTAACAACCTTTGCAATATAATTTCCAGATACATAAAAATTATGAGCTCATGGGGTAGTGTGTGTGTGTGTGTAATTTGTAGTGCTGAGTGTGGAACCCAGGGCCTTGAGCATCCTGGGCAAGTGCTCCAGCACTGAGGTGCACTCCCGGCCCAAGCAAGCAGTCTGTACGTATGTATGTCTGTATGTATGTATTGCTCTTGAGACAAGGTCTTGCTGGACAGTTCAGGCTGGCCTCAAACACAACGATCCACCTGCCTCAGCCTCCCCAGCGCTGGGATTACAGGCGTGTACCACCACACGTGGCATGAACAGTTTTTAAAGAGCACAAATATGGATGTACAACAACGGACAACCAACTCTGGGGTTGTTTCCAGTTTTCACTATTGTAACAATGCTGTGATGGAAGTCTCATCTGTACACCTGTACACCCTTGTTCACTTATCTCCTTAGGAATGGAAAAGGGAAGCTAGGCATATAGCTCAGGGGTGTAAGTACCTTCCTGGCAAGTGTGAGGTCGTGAGTTCGATTCCCGGTACAAAAACAAACAAATAAACAAAAATAACATGAAGGAATGGAAAAGGAGGTAAAGAGTATTCATCCTTTACTATTTTAAATTACTTGTACCTTATTTAGTTCCAAATAGTGTATTCACAGTGTGGAGTGTGTTAAAAGTGAAATAATAATAATGACATGCCAACTTTCATCCCACTACTTTTCCTTGTTTCTCTCCCCAGAAGTATCTTTTGTAACTTGCTCCCCATCTATTGCTCTGGAGCTATTTTCTGCACAGACAGCACACACTCAAGTGCACAAACGGGGGCGTACCATCCACAGTCTCTACCCTGGCACTCATTCCTCACCCTTACCTTATTATAGTACCTTATTTTGGGGGGGGGGTACACCAGGAATCGAACTCAGGACCTTGTGCTTGCCAGGCAGGCACTTGTGCCACTGAGCTATATCCCCGGCCCTATATTACCCTATTATCTTACCTTATGCTGCTTTTTTTTAAAACAGGGTCTTGCTAAGTTGCTCATGTTGGTTCTGAACATGCCATCCTCTTGCCTCAGCCACCTAACTAAGTAGCTGGGATTATGGGTGTGCCCCAACATGCCCATCTGCATCTCCTTCTTTACAAGAGCCAAAGGCACTTTTCAAACACCTACATACATTGCCAAAGAAACTTCCGAAACGTCACACCCAAAGTGCGTGAGAGTTTCTAAAATGGAGAGACTGTTATCCTGTTCTCCACCCAGAAGACAAGCTGGGAAGGTGGAACAGGTGTGGATTATCCATCCACCCAGCACAACAGTGAGGCGGGTAAGTGAGGGGAGCAGACCAAGGGAAGCACACACAACTCTGCCTACGCTGCAGGCAATGGGACATCCCACTTGTGGGATTCGGCTGGAGTGGAACTCTTCAGGAGCAGAGGAGGCTCACCGTGGCCACGCCAGGGCTGTACTGGGAGAGACAGGCGGGGTGAGCCCCACCCTGCATCAACGGAGGAAGAGCAAAGAGCAAAGGGAGGAGCAGGCAGGTCCACCACCAAGTGCCTTTGCACTATAGCTGTTATTTTGTACAATGAAGCGGCTTATAAAGAGATTAGCCTCAATTACCACCAAAGTTTCATCCAGCTGTGGACTTCCGTATCTTAAACTCTTAGGCCTACAGTGCAAGAGATGGAAGGTTGCTTCCTTCAGCCCTTACACAAATAGGACAGACAGCCGAGCTGTACCACAAAGATCAGCTTATGTGGCATAGTCTTCTCTGCCCAGTAGGCACATCCCCGGGCGTCCTTCCGTGGTGACCCACTAGTGACTTCCGTGTGTCTCACAAATGCTGTGCACGATGAATCCCCGCCTTCGAGGCAGCGTCAGCTGCACTGAAATTCAGTTTATGGCTCTGTCAGTGCTCAGATCCCCGGGGGTGTGGACCTGTCCCACAGCTCCCAGAAGGCAAAGAAGGGTCTGCTGACAGGCCTCTGCTGCCTCTCCTGGGCCACCCCTCAGAGGGCACGCAGCTTCTCCCGCCTTCTCACACCTTCTGGCACTGTGGTCCTCCTCTGCTCACTCCTCTAACCGCACTCCCAATCGAGCCACGTTTACCATTGGAAATTTGGAAATACCTGAGGGTTTAATGAAGAGGAAAGTTTTCCACCATTCTCCTTGATGTCAGTTTGCAGCTTTCTCTTCTGCTGAAGAGGTAAGTACTTAACTTTCAAACAGAAAGTACAATTTGCAAAAATTCCCACAGTCATCCTGAAAGAAAAAGTTTCAAGTTACAGTTTTTAAGGAAATCACTTTTCAGTGAATACAGCTGACAATGAATTTAGATTCTTTCTACAAGCAAACTGGGGGGAAATTGGGCATTAAACGAAAAAAATATTACAGCCAGGTGTGATGGCACACACCTATAATCCCAGCACGCAAGAGGCTGAGGCAGAAGGACCGCCTGAGTTTGAGCCCTGTTTAGGGTACATAGTGAGTTCAAGGCCAGCCTGACTACACAGCAGGACACTGTTTCAGAAGACAAAACAGAAAGATACTGCAATGTTATAATTACAAAAACTGAACACTGTCCTCGCTTGTACTAGGTGTGTTGGTTTCAGAATAACTTCTGGGTTTTAGGGCTATTATGAAGCAAAAAACAAACCCTTTGTACAACCTTGTAAGGTACAGCTGTCTTGGTGGAGATGTAACAAACTTCACAGTTACACATGAAGTGTGTGGTTCAAGAAGCATTTATTTCTAAAGTAAAAATTAATACTATGTAAGAGTGAAGCCATGGATTTTTACAGGTAATTATTCTATCAATTCAAAGAGATTCATTAAGAGCTAGCAATGCAACTGACTGGTTAGCGTGTTCCCTGGCATGTGAGAGACCTTGGGTTCGATCCACAGTACTTAAAAAAAGAAAAAGATGTTCTCAAAGAGTCAATTGTTGTATGGATTTCTGTTAAGCCGTACAACTAACGTTACCTGAGACATACACGCTGTGCATACACACACACAAACATACACTGATGCACTTACGGGGCCGTTTAATTCTTTTACTGTGCCATACACTATCACATGTAGGAATCGCCTCTGAGAAAACATAAGCAGAGCTCAGGCTGTAGCTCAGTGGTAAGAGCGCTTGCCTCCCTATGCGAGGCAATGGGTTCCATCCCTGGCACTTCAGACAACAAAAGAAGAGGAAAGCACACTGTAGATTATTTAACAACAAACTAATAAATAGCGAGGTGCTGGATTTAATTCCTAGTATTTGCCAACTTTTTTTTTGAGACAGGGTCTAAGTCTCTACAAACTGTCCAGGATGGGAACTGAACTTGCCGTCCTCCTGCTTCAGCCTCTCAGAGTGCTGGGGTTACGAGTGTGTGCAATCACAGCCAGCAGTTGTCAGCTTTCAAAAACGGAAGTGAAATCTGCCTGGGTCCCCAGGGGAAGAGGCCTTGCGGTGAAGGCAGCCCTGGTTCAGACCCAACAGAAGCGCAGGCCGCTCTCCCTCCTTCCCGGCGCTGGGTCCCGTCCACGCCCGCAGGCCCTGCGCCCTCCAAGTGGCCGCGGCCGCCCCATCCCCAGAGGCTCCGACACAGGAAGCAACCTGAAGGGGGGCTGCCACAGACCGCACCCCGGCCTTGTAGACTTAGTTTCCTAGCCGTCCTCCCGGACTCCTCTAGTGAGACCCCCTCAGGCTCCTAGCCTTTGCGGGTGTCTGTAGGGGCTCGATCAGCTCTGTGTTTGCTTTATTCTATCCCAAGTCAGTGGACACTCGGTTATTCAAAACTGTTGATTATTTCAATGACGCGGCGAGGGAAATGTTGGCACATATATTTGGGGCCAAATCTGTCATTTTCCCTCAGAAAGTATGGCGAGAAGTGAAATTACTCAATCTATGAGGACAAACATTTTTTTCATTCTTTTAAAAACTGTGATAGAACGCACCCAGCAGAAGTGTACTATATTACAATACCCATTTTTTTTTAAAAGGCTGGTTACCAGGCTGGCAGCCCTCCAGCCAGGCGCCCACATCCTTCGGCGGAGTGCTGGCCCTGGGGTGGGGCGCTCCGTGCCAGCTCGGGCTCACCCCCCAGTCCCCGCGCCCGCACGGCCCCGAGGCGCCCCGCAGTCCCCGCCGTTCCCGCACGACCCCTAA